CCAGAAGTCAGTTTTGCTAAAAAGCTACATCTGCATCATTATATTTAGTTGAGGTATACAGGTGAACTTATTTTCCATTTTTAAAATTTTAAACCCATGGTTACTGTGGGCTTCCAGAATTCATTTGTGGTTGTTTTTTTTTTTTTTTTTTTTTTTTAACCTATTGATTTAATTGGTATTTTTTAAAAAATATAAGAAGTAAAACATACTGTCAGAAAATTATTGAGCAAAACCTTGAGCTAGCATTCAGGAAGCAAAAAGTTGACATTGGGAGACATTTGGCAGTAAAATAATTTGCAAAGAGATTCAATACATATCTGCAGTTTTTAGACAGAAATCTAAAACTAGACTAAATAAAACATCATGATATGTTCTGCAAAGAAGAGTCCTGCAGAAGTTGATGATTTTATACGAAAGCATTGCAAATTAAGAGAGATGCAGGGAGACAATCATATATGGGAGAGAGAAAAAAGAATTGAGAAAGTGCAGTTCTTAGCAGATAGGAGGAACTGAGGGTGTGCAAACCAGTGCTTTGCTTCTGTGCAAGGTTGCAGCAGTTCAGCACAGATGCACTTGCCCAAATAACTGACTTCTGTATCTGATAGCCCAGGTGCAGATAAAGCCTTATGTTTCCATATTTTGCACATCTGCAAAGTCTCTGCAACTCATGAGTTTACTCAAGTGATTTTAAGTGACTTACAGCATGTCAGTGAACTCAGTAAATAGTGCAGTTTTTAAAGACATTGTACATGCTACTTCCAGCACTATTTGGATTAAAAACCTCCCAGTATAGCAGCAGTCATTACAGTACTTAAAATCGCGTTTACTTGTTTCATTAGAACTTACACCTTTCCTAACACAAATGGATTTTGATGGAAGGTAAGAAAAATGGTATCCTACAAGAATTTAGAGCATTTGAGCAACAGATGAAACTGGATTTTCTCAGCCAAGCTGGTCACAAGCTGATACAGTGATACGTTGAGAGGGACCCTCCATGTGCATTTTCAAAAAGCGGTGAAAAGTAAACATGAAAAGTAAACCTTAACACTGGGTGAAGCTTTCTGAAGATGAGGTAGTTACCAGAAAGTTCCCAAGTTCATATTTTTGTAAGAAATGCAAATGCCAACCTTTACTTTCAAACCTATGCTCTAGTGATTATACTACTATCCTGGCTTTTCTGAGGTTTTTGGTTGGTTAGTTGTTTTGTTTTGTTTTCCTGGTTACAATTACAGTAGTCATATAAGAGATACTGAATGTCAAATGACCAATTAAAGGGTAATTTTACCTAGACAGTGGGTTTTGGATACTTTGTTAGTACGTGCATATTAGTAACTTCAATGCTCACGTATTGAGGACAATTAGTTCAAATATAGATGATCTCAAAGACTGAGCTATAGCAAATGTGTTTTCAAATAAATATTTTAGCATCCCATGAAAACATTCCAAACATCTTCATCTAACTAAATATTGTCCAATAATTTTGAAATTAACTAAACATCTGGCATGTGTTCTACTTCTTGCACCATCTCTCTTTCAGATGGCTGCTGCCCCTAAAATATTAATGTCAAGTAAGTAACAGTTTCCCAGAACCCTGCTCTGCACAATGATAGAAGCGATTTCAGATGAGTACGTTCATGCAGATTTTTCTGTTGATATAAGATGCAATCAGATGACTGAGATAATAAAAAAAAAATTGACAGATGAGACTATGAAAAATACTATATAATTGAACCTTACATGTTTTTCAAATAAGTTGCAGCTGAATCAGAATGAGTGGAATACACTTAGGGATGAAAGGTGTTGAGGAGACTTGGGGTAGAAATCAGTGGAGTGGAAAACTCACATATGAAGGTGTAATTCAAATGCAGGATACGACTGTGGTTTTTTAATAGTCCTGAAAACATGGAAGTGGTTAACATAACCATCAAGAAGTGCCTGAGATTTTGTCACCATAATCTCATGGGAGGGTTGAGTTGGCAGAGTTTTGGCTTTTTCTTGCTTCTTTTTTTTTTATGCTAGTATTGTGGAGGAAATAAACTAGGTGAAGACATCATAAAGATTAGGTCATTGGTCATTATTAGAGTTTTAAATACAGTTTATGAAACAAATGGAAATGAAATAATATTAACTTATTGAAGATCAAAGCAAATTTTACCGTGCCTGAATTCTAGTAACAGATTTTCTTTCTTGTGTATAATGCACTGGGTAGAGAGATTATTAAATCTTGTCTAATCTGAAACTTTACAACATATGAATATCAAAGAGTAGTTCTCCTAATTGTGATTAATTTTTGATTTGTTTTGCAAATGGGAAAAATTTTTTTTAGTCTTAGATTTATAATAAACAGGGTTTGGGTTGCAATGTGATGAAGTAATTTCTGCATTTTAAATTGAAGTGGAAGTTGGCTCTACTGATAACCCCTAAAGTATGAAAATTTTTTTAAGAAATGTAGCTAAACTTAAATGTATAACTGTAAATTTAAAATTTTGTAACTTGATTTGTGATGCTTTATCTTAGGTGTGCAATATTGAAACACTATCATGTACATAATACAGGTTAATAATACAGTGTATCAGTATAAATCAAGGTGTTAATTTCTGTTTTTCCAAATAATTTCCTGTTCCAGCAGACAGTTCTTGGCCTCCTTTAGTATTTAGAGCATGCACTTGGGCGTTGAGTACACAAATCACATACTCATCTCAAGAGTGAGTCCTAAATACTGACATAATTCTAGAATGTAGAAACAGTGTTCATTGGGTGCTCAAAGAATAATATTTCCTGATATGGTATTGGCTTTGGTGGATCAACATTTTTCTGTGTCATTATGAGAGGAAAAGTACAATTTGAATGCCTATAGCACTGTGAGTTGCTTGCAAGTATTTAGTGTCATACTGGAAATCCATAGGCCATTTTTTGGTCTTGTAATGGATACAGGTTATATGGACTCAGACCATGTTGTGTAGACTCAACAAATTCCTTGGAAAAGCAGTCCAGAAGAAATCACCTCTCAGGGGACCAAAGAAAACCCCAAAGACAAGAACAAACAAAACTTTAACTACACTTAAGCATTCCTTTGTAAATTAAATGTACATTAAAGCACCAGAATGCCTCAGTGCTGAGATAAGCTTCACAGATTTTAATTAAACTAATGGAGTTTTAGAATTGTTGTTGCTTATGAAAAGATTGAATGCCTTTTCCAGCTTATAAAGGCAAAGCAAGACAAGATAAAACTGCAAATAATCCCAAGGAAGAAATTTTCAAAATAAGTGCTTTGTTTACTGATCTGCTGCCAAAAGCAAGACAGATTTTTATTCATTCAGATACTTTCAGTAATGTTTCCTGTTAGAAGAAATCCAGGATTAGAGTTAATGGGAAAAAGTAAATGAGAATTTCTTTTCATTTGCTGCATTACTAAGTACTTTTTAGATGTCAGGCAAAGGGTGAGGCAGCTGTTTTTGTTTACTCAATGTTTTCTAAGCAAAACAAAAAAAGAAATTGTTATGAAAATTAATTTGAGATAATCAGGTTTCTTTCACTAAATCCAAACAAGTTGTTCTTAAAATTATGGGTAAGAGTAAATTATTAATGTTTAAAAATGTTAGCACAGAAACAAGTACATTGTTTCACATGGTTTAACACTAGCTCTTTAGTTAGAATAGAGTGTTTTTTCTCCTGTATTTTCATTTGAGGATTAGTTTTTAGTTTGTGTTTCTTCTGTAGAGAAAAGCCACGGGTGAACAGTTGTTCATTTTACTCTGTGGAGAGAAATGGCAGAATAGGGTTATAAAGAAGGCTGAATAACAGTATCTGAGTAGAATAACCATCTTGGATTTCTTTACTGTTAGTGACATCAGATGGCTAACTCAAGAGTAATACTGATCTAGAAATCAGTGAAAATTTAAAAGGCTTGGTACTGATATCTGTCCACATCCACAATATTCCGTGAAGAAAGTATGCATGATACTGGTACATCTGAGATTTATCTTTAAGTTTTTGATCCAATTTATTGCTCTCAAAATAAAATATTTTTTTGTTGTTGTTTTCATACTTTCGTGCTAGGTACTGCTAAGAAATTGAATAGAGGATGACGTGCACAAACAGGCGGGATTTTAAAATTAGACCTTGAGGGGTAAACCTGGGCTTAATTTGAATTTATATGTGAATTTCTTCTTACTTATGTACTTATTTAGCTGTGTTTATATATTCAAAATTAATACTTCATTGATAATTTCTGTGACTGATTTTAAAGAATACATTTTCATTCTCTCGAAATGAAATTTAGAAATTTGGAAATATCATTGAAGCATGTGTTCAAAAAAATGAGAGGATATCAACTGAATTCAATTTTTTACGCTGCTGAAAGCTAATTTCATTTAAGAGATTCCATTTTAATACAGTAATGACAGACTCTTTCTAAGATAGTCCTTCAGAATTAAACAATAATTAAGAGCTAACCTAAACCACAAAGTTACAGCTGCCTTCTATTTGTCTTTGTTGGCTGTGTTGGCTGCGTCTGGTCAGCTGGTATTTCATCGAGTTTAGCACAAAACTGCCTCTCAATCAGAGAATAATTTACTCTTCTTAAAGGCTATTTTTGCACTGCCCCAAGTTTTTCATTCTGTTTTCTGTTGGAAACTCCACTTCAATCCAAGCAAAAATTACTTAAGTTCTTTAAAACCAGGAACAATAACTTCAAGGAAAAATAAGTTTGAAAGAAACAAATTGGTCTGTCCTCATGCTTGATTTACTTAAATGTTGTTGGTAGTAGTTCGTGCTGCCTGCTAATGTATTTTGGAATTTCATAGATGGGGAGTTTCACTCTTAAACAGGCCAAATTCAAATAGTAACACATGATTATTCAGAAATTAGCATAAAATGAAGGAGTCCTTTAATGGTTCAACTTTTTTGAATCTTCAGTTATTTTTGGGACATTTATATGCAGAAATAATTTTGTCCTGTTAGAAAATGTAGTATTAATCCTGTTTTTCTCTTGCCTGCAGGGCAGCACAACTATTTGTGTGCTGGCAGAAATGACTGCATAGTCGATAAAATCCGTAGGAAGAACTGTCCAGCATGTCGCTTGAGGAAGTGCTGTCAAGCTGGTATGGTCCTGGGAGGTGAGCTACTTTTCAAATCAGATCTATAAAAATAGGCAGTCAAGTACACTACCTTCAATCTTTTGAGCTTAAACAACATTACTTTGACACTGTAAAGGAAAGAACCACATTCAAATGTTAGTTTTGGAAGAATTACCTAATGTTTTATAATTTCTGAGAATTTTTCTTTAATGATTCTGGAAAACCTGAAACAAAAATGCCTTTCTGTAGCAATCTCCCTGTGCTACTGTGTGCCCTTATACTCATTTTCTTGAAGGGGCAGGAATTACATCTTTGGTTTGAATTTATTAATAATTTTGGATCAGAAAATTTGATTTAGGAAAAAAAATAAAGAAGCAGATTGAAATTGAGACTAAAATCGGGAATCAGTACTGTTCCCTTCTCTTTTCTGTTATGCTCTCTAATTGTTTTGAGTACATGTCAACAAAATTGAATCCTTCTGTTTCACCGAAGAGTGCCAGGCAGTGGTTGCACCAACACTACAGACTTTGCATACTAGATGCTGGGAAATTCCATCTTTGTAATAATTCTTGCTGTAACATATTTGCCTTTTTTTATACATGTAACATTATTCAAAACAGTATTACTACAAAGGCAGAACCAAAATCATTGTTTGACCAGCTTTGGAAGAGGAGAAAGCCAAGAGGTCCATAGTAGGCCATGGAAAATAGAGTAAGAATGAAGATTTAGGAAAAGAGAAGTTGGGAGATACAGTGCCTGCCTTTTAATATTTGGGAGAACTTGTAAGGTTTGATCAACTTGATCTCTAAAATATATCCCTGCTTGTGACAGAGGGGTTATACTAGATGATCTTTAAAGATCCCTTCCAATTCAAACCATTCTACAATTCTAATGGGTGTAAATTAATACAGATAAAAATTCATTCCTGGCTGTGAGTTTTGCACAACCAAGTGTTTGGTGGCGATCTGACCTGAATTTTCATTTATGATAGCCTGGATAACACCAATAACTAAACTCCATGCGTTTTAATATCCCAGGCAGCAGTTTCAACAAGCAGAAGAGTGTGATGACTCTAGCATTGTCTAGTCTTTTTGCTTCAGCACTGCTCTGCATGGTAATGCGACATAGGAGAAGTTGCCAGCAGGGTTGACTTCATTCTACATTTTGTATGCATTTATGGATGCTAGTTTTACTAGTGTTTTTTAATATATACATTTTCCTCTGGGTGTAGGTACTTAAAATGGAAGAAGTTGGACACTTTTGCTAGCAATATTGATGAGATGGTATGTCCTCATTGGTGTATCCTCATATCAGGTTGTTATGTCCTCATACTTGAAACCAAAACCTGAGGCTTAAGATGCTCTGATTCTTTGTTCTTTATTATCATGGATGAAGAGAGTAAAGCCTTCCTTTTTCTCTTTGGATCGCCTTTTTTTCCCCCTCAGCTATTACTAAGCAAGTGTGACTAATTTCTCTGTATTTAATGTTAGGTTGTTCTATCTAGCCAGTTTATTTGTTTAGCCTTTTTCTAAGTATACCTAATCATAGCTGTCTTTAATTTTTTGAGGAGACTGTTGCAATCCTAATGCAGTGCTTAATACTGAAAGGAGAAGGAAAGACAAATGTACACCAAAAAATGAAGAAAACTGGAATGAGATTATATTATTTGTAAATGATGACTTAAAATTCAAACCAGCAAAAAATCTGAAGGTTATGTTAACCATAATGCTCTTTCCTATGATTACTGTTACTCTTCTTCTTTTTGCTCTTCTGCCATTTTTTAAACCTCCTATCATATGAGCTGTATTTCCCACCCATAACTTGATGTGCTGATCAGCACAGTATAATTCATATATGGGGTACTATAGGACTTAGATCACATTCCCCTGGACATAAGTGATCAAAGGGCTGGGAAGCCTGCCATATGAGGAAAGGCTGAGAGAACTGGCTTTGTTCAGCCTTGAGAAAAGAAGGCTTAGGGGAGACCCTATCACCATGTTTCATTATTTAAAGCGTGGCTACAAAGAAGGTGGAAACTCCCTTTTTACAGGGAGTCTCATGGAAAAGGCAAGGGGTAATGAGTGCAAGTTAATACTGGGGAGATTTCAGCTGAACACAAGGGGAAAATTTTTCACAATGAGAACAACCAGCCATTGGGATAGTGTCCCCAGGGAAGTGGTGGATTCCCCAGTATTGGACATTTTTAAGATGCAGCAGGACAGAGTTCTGGAACATGTTATCAGACTATGCTTTTGCCAAGAAAGTTTGAACTGGATGATCCTTGAGGTCCCTTCCATCCTGGTATTCTATGATGTGTCCATAAGCAAATTTCCAGTTCTTGCAACAAATGACATACTTAGATACATCCTTGAGTATTTTAAATGAATCAGAATTTGCAATACTTTAAATTGCTTCTTGTGTTTACAGCCTGTATACCTCAAGATTTTTTGTGCATTTTCTGATTTCTGCCATTCAGAACTTACAAAGATACATCTTTGTTCTTTTGTCCCTGATACTTAGTTTCTCAATGCTACTCTTGAGTTCCTAAACTCAGACCTTTAATATTGAGTTACTTGAGTTACTAAATTCAGACCTGCAATATTGCTTAATTAAGGAGAAAGATTTCATAGGATATTAACGATAAGATTCTAAAAATTATACTAATTAAATTAAACTTGGAGTGTACACTTGGAGAGTGTGCTTGGAGAAGTACACTTATCTTCCACTGAACATTACTGAGTGACAACCATATAGATAGAGTGTAATATCATATGTCATGGACAACAGTTCCATTTTTTGACCCTAATTTCAAAGCAATAAACCCTTGAATTGTTCTAGAAGAAATTGTAGTCAGTTTTAAGTAAATTATAGAATAGCAACAAATAGCTTCAGTATATTTCTCTATATGGACTGTTTCTTCTTTCTTAATGTATAGAAGGAAAGTATCAATGAAAGTATGTATTCCATAGTACCTTATTTGTCATTCTCTGTGAAAGTGTTGTCTTTGAGTTTTATGCCTCACAGCTGGTGACATTAGTCTGTCCCCTTTCTAATCTTCTGCCTAATAGGATATCAATTAGCTGTGTCAGGTCCTTGAATAAACACATACTTTACTCTTTTATTTACTATGAGTGAATCTGTAGTTTTCCCAGGCTGATTATCACAGACTCCTGGTTCAGCTGTACTGTATTGCTACATTACTGTGTTCTTCATTGTTTCGCTCAGCTTTCAGTCTGCAGTGCAATGATTACATGCAGAAAAATTTGAATTAATTTTCCAGGTAGTGTTTTCTGAGGTAGGATCGAAGGGTTTATTAAAATCTGCATGTATTATTTCTGCTTTGCTGGTTTCCTTATTTTGTATACATCCCCCCTAAGGTGTACACAACTTTTTCTTCTACACGAAATGTGAGAGTATAGTGACCTGAAAGTAAGACCCATAGTGTTCTGTCAAGAATAGTAAATTACTGATGCTTTTCACCTGATTACAGAGTAAGGCGAAGGATAGTGAGATATTAGGCTTTTACTAGAAACACAGTGCTTTTAATACAAAATGTGTACCATCAATAATGTCTGATACATACAGAATTATGTAGTAAGGGGAAAATCATAATATATTTGATGATGAGATTTTATCTTTTATGTTTTCTAGGTACATGTAGCACGCAAACACTATACACATGCTACTCATAGTAATCGAGGGTAAGGGAACAGTGAGTACTGAGAAACTGCTTGAGTGGTTGGCTATCTTAAAACAAAATAATGACAATGTTACAAAGAAAATTCATACTGTCTAAATATACATAGATAGGTTATAGTATTAGGATGAATAGTTGCCAGAGTGGATTAATGTTCTTTACGCTTTATAGGAACAAGTGGAGATATTTATTTATCTTATAGCAGGAACTTACCTGGATGTTTCTGAAACACCAAAATAAAAAGTAAGCTATTGTCATATCTGTGTTGTTTTCCTTATGTCCTTAAGAATTTTTATTAATTTGTTGTGGTCTCCTTGTGGTAGATGGGAGAAATTTATTGTGAGTTATTAATAGTCACCTATCCAGTAGATAGGTAACAAGTGGAGTTGCTTTACTGGTGGCTGTTAAGCAACATAATTAGAAATAAACACATAAGGAATTCTGCAAACCAGTGTGACATTAATTCTCATACATTTAGTCACATGGAAACATGGGTACTTATTAACTACTAACATTTCCATGTGATAAGCACTCTGTTTGGTTTCTTTCTTTACTTGTTCTCTGAACTGTAAAAGTATCTGAAGCTATTATTTCAAAAAATACCTGAAATGATTATTTATAAACTATCAAATGCATTGTTCCTTCTGTTTTCCTTCATACCTAAACAATGCTTAGTGGGAAATTCCCAGCACGTTTAGGACTATGCATAGATTTGTTATGACAGAAGTTGGCTCTAGGTCTTTTGGCATAATAAATTGTCTATTCTTTTGGAGGGTTTTTTATGTGTTCTGTTGTTTTGGGTTTTTTTTGGTTCAGCTGTAGTATAACGTGTAAGTTTTTGTTTGGTTCTTTACTAAGAAGTCTCTAATCAGAAATATTTTTATTCTTACCACAAGTGATGAAATGAGCAGAAGATTGTTGGGGCACTTGATACCAAACTAAGTAAACCCACAATTAAGTCAGTGGGAATATGACTCCTGATTTCATTGCATAATGAGTGTTACTGAAGGCCTCATCACTCGTATTCATACTATCATTAAAGTGTGTTTCTTGAAATTTGGTTTAGCATGCTTCCTTTTGATTTTAAATGTTGTTTTAATTTAAATTGAGGTATTGCTTGTTTGCGTATAACTTTGTATGTGAAATGCATAAACATGCATATTTATGATAGGATAAAACAAAATTAATTTTTATTAAAAGTAGATGTTGTGTTCATCTTATCAATCTTGTCTGGTTCAAAAACAAGAGGATTGATTCTGCCTTCAGTTATACCAGTGTACATAAAAAATACTTAAGTAATAGCATTTTTCTATTTAAAATGTTTAGAATTTACATCGGAAATCTCTCACATTTGAATTTTAAATCTCACTTGAAGTTATACTACTTGTGTACTAATGAATGTTTTGAAAAGGTCAATTTAATTCTCTGATGTGTACAACCTAGGTCTTCCTAAGTGGAGACACTGGATTTTCATAAAATTTGATATCTTCTGTGATATAGGAGCACATGAAGCAAATGGAATAGACATGTCCTTAAGTATAACTATTTTTCTGATTTAGCATGTTGTTTGGAAGACTGGAACTTTCCAAGGAGAAAAGTAATAAATGAGTCTGACTATACTAGTATCCCTCTATTCCTCTCATAAATAGTTGAGAATGAATTAAGATGTACCAAAGTTTAGGCCCTACTCCTGTGTCCTAAGGCCTCTTTGATGCTGCACTGGTTGCATTCCAACAGTGCAGCACTACTTTCAACTAAAACAAAAGGGTGGCAGTAAGAGATGGAGAAGTCTTTATTCCCTTTCCTTTAGGATTGGATAAATTTCCTTGTCTAATTGTGTATTTGTAAATAAAAGTACAATTTTTCAAAGGAAAATTTGATATACATATTAGAAACTTGATTTTAATTCAGCCAAATAGATGCATAGAATTATGTTTCTATTACCTTTCACCTTTCATACTTTTAGAGTGGTTTTTGCACATTGCCATTTTGTAATGCAGTTTCTTGGTGGTTCAGCAGTTTGATAGGCATGGATTTTCCTTTCATCTGGTAAAATTTGATGCATCTCTTTTTCTACTTAAAGTATGCAACACCTCAACAAGTAAAACTATCCACATGATTTCTGTGGTTTTTTTTGAGAAAAACCTTCTCCTTCCTTATTTTCTTTAAGGTTGAAACATGTAATTATTTTTTTATATTTTTTCAGCAGAATTATTTACGCTTTTTTTTGCCATCACCCCCATCTCTCTTACTGCCCCATTGTGATATAAATCAGATCATAACTATCAGTATCTTTATTGCGTTTTTTATCCCTTTTTTACCTAACCCAAACTTGTTTGGCAGAACTAATGATCTAGCAGGATTTTTATCACCTTTGAGGATCTCTTTAAAGGAAGTGTGTTCCATGCAGTCATCTCTACGTAGAGTTACCTTTGCATTGAAACTTTTAATATGGTAATATGTTACTGAGGGTTACTGTCTTTGAACCTCTGAAGGAAGGTTTGATTTTTTGTGACTAAAGTGTGTGCTGCTACGTGAACTCTTTCCATGAAAGAAACTTGAAGAGTTGCTACCTAGAGCTCTATATATTTCCATAGCCATACCACATGTATCTATGCTTATTTTGGGAAGGGAGTTCAGCTATCTATCTTTCTTTTTACTTAGTTGTTCATAGCACTGCAGTATGGAAATAAGAATTGCAAATACTGAGAAAGGGAAATTAATCTTTAGAAAGTAAAGTGTTTTATAAATGGTTTTACAGGATTTGTTGACCTTTCATTCATCCCCTGACCATCAAAACAGGATTCATCCATGAGACTGAAATGCTTTTAGGGCACTGGAGGAAAGGAATGTCTGTGTGTAGTAATTAATTACTAGCATTTTTGTTTCTGAATACTGGGGAGTAAAAGAAACAGTATCCTCAATTGACATTAAATAGAAACTGAATTGTAGAGCCAGCTGGCTCGACTGTTGGCATATGACAGAGCAGTGGGAACTGAACCAGAGAACGTTTTATGAGGTTACTGTAACCCAGAATTCGTGTCAGTAATTTTAATGAGTGAGTGCCATTCATCTCTTAGTGAAGGGAGGAGGATGTGAAGGGAGCTCTTAAGAATTTTCCATTATTATTTGTGAATTATATAAATAGTCAAAGGATAGAAAACTTACTCAGAAGACAGTTCTAGTTTCCTTATATAGATTAAAAGCGTAATGCAACACTAATGGAAAATACTAATGTTACTGGTTAATTCTTTCTAACAGATTAACAATTTTCTTTTTCAGGTCGAAAATTGAAAAAGTTTAACAAAATTAAGGTTGTGAGAACGTTAGATGTTGCACTCCAGCAGCCAGCAACCCTTCAAGATGAAAGCCAGTCTTTAACCCAAAGGCTGTCCTTTTCTCCAAATCAAGAAATACAGTTTGTTCCCCCAATGATAAGTGTTTTACGAGGCATTGAGCCAGAAGTTGTCTATGCTGGTTATGACAATACAAAACCTGAAACACCAAGTTCGTTGCTGACCAGTCTAAATCATCTTTGTGAGAGGCAACTTCTTTGTGTAGTCAAGTGGTCTAAATTGCTACCAGGTAATGTCATATATGTGGTGAATCATAAATTAAGCAAATATATCATGGAATGAGCAGTCAAGGGAGAATATTATTGTCTGCATGCTACTTAATTCTTAACAAATTCCAAAATTATTAAGGTTCCACTTCATCAGATAATATAACTATTCAAATAAATTTTGATAGGAGGACACATTTGAAGGAATCAATCTAAATATTTAGGCTTACTTCAAGAAACTACAGAAGCCCAGTGAGTTCTTGCATGTAGTAGTTATAGCAGCCTTTCCACCCCCATCCCTCCTACTCTATTATTTATTCATTTGGTATAAGAAGGGTTGTATTTCTGCATATTCTTTATTCATATTATTACTAAAATGAATTTTTGACAGCAACAAAATAAAATTGTAATAAATAGTACCAACTGGGACTAAGAAGCTCACGAATAGACTGGTAATTAGAACTAACTGAATTTATGAAGATCCAAGACTGGATTAAAAAAAATCCATGTTATGTATGTAGATATGTGTGTATGTATGTACACCACTCTGTGGTCATAGAGGCTTGATCCTGGAATATATATAAAACAATATTTGAGCAGAAAGCCTAGAAAATACAGTTTCATGTGAGCTCAATTTGACACTTCACTGCTGCAGGAAAGGGTAGTCTCTATCACTGCTCTTCCTGTTGGCAGTTTGCACTTATCAGACATCTTGGATGAACCAATTCATCTCATTAAATGAGAAGAAAAGAAACTTTTTTTTTTACCCTCTGTCATTTTCTATGTTTTCATGAGCTGAACCAGTTCCCTGAGGGGTAGCATGAATGTCAGAGCTTGCCTGATGGACATAACAGGACCAGGTGATAAGGAGCAGGAGCACTGCTTTCAGTGGCAGGAAGCTGTTAGTTTGACTCAGATAATTCATGACAATCTTTAGAGTTACCAAACAGCAAAGATTATCAAAGGCAAGCACACAACTGAATATGCTTCTCTTTAGTTGAGTGCAATACGGACATTTATTTTATGACAACTGTATCTTCTGTTAAGAAACCTAAAGTTCAAGCTATCTATGTGAAATAAGAGTTGGTTACAGTGATCATGTTACAAACTAATATTTTTACCAAAGCAAAATAATGTGCATTCCTATTGCCTGAAACAGCCATTTTTGCTAAAGTTAATTTTACTGAATCAGAACAAAAAGATAAGAGGTGAGATAGCCAGCTATCACAGCAAAGTGAGATTACCCAAACATCTGAGAGCTACATCCCCAAAACCACTTATCTTTCTAGGTGTTCTCAATTGTATAGCTCAAATTTGTAACTTCAAAACTCAGCTGCTGTCTAAATGAGAATTACAAAGTATTTTAACTTTTAATTTCATTTCCAGGATTTCGGAATTTACATATTGATGATCAGATAACCCTCATCCAGTATTCCTGGATGAGTCTAATGGTTTTTGCAATGGGATGGAGATCATACAAACATGTCAGTGGTCAGATGTTATATTTTGCACCAGATCTGATTCTAAATGAGTAAGTAGACTCTGCTGTTGCATTATGTGAATAACATTTTAAACTTATATGTGCCAGTGGGAATGTGACTCCCTTGAGACCAAGATTTCATTCATTATTTGTTCCATTTCAAAATTAACAGCAGAGGAAAGTCCTCTGATCATATCATAGCTCAGTAACTTTGGAAAGCATTTTGTGGGAACCCCAACTATTCTATTTGCATGTTCAAACAAAAGGTGTTCAAATAGTATTCTAATTATCTAAGGGAAAAATAATAATAATTTAAAAAAAAAGAGTGATGCTGTCAGAAAATTTACTGAATTCATCTGAATAAGATAGGAGTTAATTTTTAATAAATGGAACTGACTGTGATTTTCTTTGGTTTTGTTTGGGTGATTTTGCAAATAATTTGCATATAGTCTAAATGCTCAATTTTGACACTTTCTGATAAAACTCTGATTTTTGAAGTACATTTCATGTTAGAAAAGTACATTTCTTGTTAGAAAATTGTAAAAAAATTACAAAGAAGGAATTTCAATATCAAGGAGAAAATACGTGAGACTGCTCTTTTGTAGTGGGGGATGAGGGGATTGTTGGCTTAGATTTTCCTTCACTATGCTATTTAATTTAGATAATCTTCATTTCAATCTGTGTCAGTTTTTCAGCTCTGCAAATTTGTATTGTTAAACTTGTAATATTAGATACTTTGTTTATAGTACATGGGAAGCTGCCAGGAACAGTAAAATATAATTTAATCTCTATATCTCCTTAATACATTTTTCTTATTTTTTTTTTTAAATCTTAAAGAACTGATATGAAGCAAGATGAAAGAAGTCTTTTTGTAGGACATATTGTTTAAGGATTAAGAGATGGATTTGCAGAAGATCTAGACACCTAATTTTAAAATCTATAGTGTGCAAGTTCCTACCAGTGAAGTTCTTTATAGAAAATATTCGCTGGAGGAGGCTCTGTAGCTCCTGGCCTTTTGTCTTCCAGGTGACTGTAAATCACTGTGAAGTTATTGAGTAATGAATTCTTTCCTCTCCCATTTGTATTAATTATGGTGTACAAATTTAAATACTTAGAAATTATGAGCTTGAAAGTAGTTCTGACTGTATGCTGTCCCAGCATAATCTGATATATGGTAACATCCAGAAGAAGCACAAAGTGAGATGGCTTAGGCAGTAGTTTCACATATTGAGGTATAACCCTGCATGTGGACCACTGCTGACACCTTGTGAAGAAGACTTTGAGTACTTTCTTCCAGAACAGTTTCTTAATGGTAGTTTAAGACCATCTACACTGAGAAGGAGGTGGATTGACACCTCGTGGTTATGAGAGATGAGATGACCCATCTCATCAGGGTCATATTAGAAATGTTATAAACAGAGGCATGTAAAGTAAGTGGCACACTAAATTGTATCTGCAACTGTTTATTGGGAAATAAGTTAGCTTTTAGATAGTAAAATGTAAGCAACTTTATTGTCTACGATGATGTTAAGATTGTACTTTCATAATCACTTTGAGCAAAGGTAACTACTGAACGCTGCCAAAAATGTTAACTTCCCTGGTCATGCATCCCCATGACTTCATTTAAGCTGTATCAAACACTATCTGGCTGCACTGTCAAACAGATAAGGAATTTATATACCTGAGAATTACCCCCCGAAAAAGCCATTCTTTAGCAGTTGGAGGTGATCCCTGACTTGACTCACCACATTGGAGTGCAGACATTAATGCCAGAATTGCAGGAGTGTGAGCTTAGAGGTAGAAACAGATAATAGAAATTCCTTCTAAAGGAGCAATGCACACCTTAGTTGTTTCAAAATGGCCATGAAACCACAATCCAAAGATTGTTTCACAGCCAATCTGTTGTTTAGCAAACTGACTTGTTGTGCTTCTCGAGAAGGACTTGTTTGGTAGTATCAGTTTCATACCAAGAAAGCCAGGAGTGTTAGTTTGACAAAGATTTCTTAGTATTAGCATCATACAATGGTTTACTGTTACTTTTACTTTTCAGTCTCTGAAAATGTGAGTAAGAACAGCATTTAAACATTCCCTGAAAGCTTTGATCACTCACCCTGATCACTCTTCGTAGATTATAATGAGGAAGACATGCTACCAGAAAGTAATAGGAAGGGAGATTTAAAGTAGATATAGAAATAATGAGTCCACTCAGATTTAAAAGATTAAATTAAATGTTTACATCATTTAAGAACTGGTACGAGATATCAGATGTTGAGCAACATTGAAATAATTTTCGTTCAAGATAATGGTAGCACTCTGAATAACAAGAAAAAAGCTCATTGCATGGAGAAGTCTGTTTTCATTGTTGAGGGTACTATCTGCAGTCAGGTTGGAATGCTCATCTGAACTTCCTAGGGGATGGAGAAGCAAAATTTAATCTTGTTGTACACAATTCATCAGGATCACGATGTAACTTTGTAGAATCAGTTCTAATTACTGGTTCATCAGGTTAATGTGCAATGACTTCAATCTAGATTATAAAATTTTTAATGCTATTGCTGCAAATATTTCAATTGAAATACCTAATAAATAAATGCAGTAATATATACTCGTATACCAAAATCACAGAGAGAAAAGTAGTATAGTCTCCAAGTTTTTTTTTTCTGGACAGCAGTAACAGATTAAACATACAAAATAATACCACTTTCATTAGGTATAAAAATTCAGAAAATTGTTTATGTGTATAACCTCTTCTTTAATGTCTGTAATGTGATAATTAAACAAGGCATTCCCTTCAAACAGCACTGGAGCCATTCTTTTTCTTTATTTTCACGTTTTTTAATTTATTTTTTTGTTTACCTTTTCTGGGTGTAAGACAGAGGATGAAAGAATCATCGTTCTATTCCCTGTGTCTATCGATGTGGCAACTCCCACAGGAATTTGTCAGACTTCAAGTTAGCCAAGAAGAGTTCCTATGTATGAAAGCACTGTTACTTCTCAACACAAGTAGGTTCTTTTATTTCTTTGTAACGAATCGTACTAAAAGAGTTTTGAACCACGTCTCACAATCACTGAGCTGTCTGGCTTAGCAAATGGAAACTCATTTAGGAGGGATGTTAGTATATCAAGGCTTAAAAATATTTTTTCTGGTGTTTATAAAGAACAAAGAATTTGTGATTCATTGTTGGTTTTATTCTGTATAAAGACTCTGGGGAAATATTGAATCCCTTTTGACGTATAGCTATACTGCATTAACACATTTGCAAAACAAGTGTGTAGTATTTCTGCCTGAAAACATCTGTTTAAGTGACTCCACATAGATAAAAAAACAAACCAAAACCAAACCAAAACAACCTTAGAAGTATTAGAAATATATTTAAAATATTTAATAAATTATAAGGACTGAAGGCTTTATCTTGGCCAAAATCTTAAAGCATGTTTACTCAAAAGAATTAGGGAAGTGGACATGACGTACAATACTAACATTTATCCAACTTCTTATAGTTATAAATAGGTGAAGTTTAGCACAGATATTAACAAATGGAAATGTTTTTTTTGCTTTGTTTCTCTGGAACAAAATCCGTTGTCACTTTTAATTGGACGTATTTTTTAAAGAATGCAGCACAAAGTTGCATTACACTTTACTTAGGAAGTGAGTTAGTTAGTGAAGTTATCTTCCTTTACCGATGTTCTAAAATGTGCATCTACTGAGGTCATAATTATTAGCTATGAATCCCCAGATAAAAAGTCTTAAATTTATACACCTGTTATTAGAAATGAAAATTAGCACTTTTGAGAAATATAATTGAAAGAATGTAGAAGTTTAGTTCTCAACACACTTATGGAGTCAAAGGAGAGATGTGAAAATCCTGCTTAGCCTGCTTGTTAGTTGTACGAAATTGAAGTAAAAGATGAGAAATTAAAATTCATTCCATCTTAAGCTGTACTTGGCTGGTATTTGCATAAGCTTCATGCTTAAAAAATTTGGTCTCAGAAAAGCATAAGATTAAAAAGATTAAATTTAGCTCATATGAACATAGAAATTACTAAAATAATAGCAAGAGACCAGAGACTCTGCTAAAGCAATAAAAGTAATGTGGATAAAAATCCTTCTCTGATGTAGGTCCAGTTGCTTTGTTGAAATCTAAATGTATTCCTGTTTTAAATGTTTTCCACCTTGTTTTCATCAAAATAGAACTCCCTCATGAATCATCTGAACCTGAGAGGGAACTTTAAAATTTCAGTTAAATTTAGATAAATTTTTTGATATTCCAGCTATCCCTTTCTGTTCCAGAAAGTTCAGATGAAATTTAAAAAATCATTGCAGTGATCGATCCAATCCCTCTCATTTCTGAGTGCATCAGTTTAGCAGAATTCATCAAACTACTATTCTTTGTCAATTGCATTGCACTCAGAAGCTAATTTTTAAGATATGTTTATGCATATGCGAGAAAGTGTTTGGTTTTTTTTAAAGAAAGTATTTCTTCCTGTGCTGATGAGTTTTGTTTTTTGTTCTCTCGTACACTTATTGTCTTATAGGAGAAAACAATTTGTCAGATCTTTGGAAAAAGGAACACAATCGTTGTTGCTGAGACATTTAGTAAACATTTGGTACTGTATAAATATAATTCCACAAAAGTATTTCCAAAAAGCCATATAACCTCATTGTTACTCTGAAATGTTTTTAAGACTACTTTTATTTTAGTCATGATATTCATCATAATTCTCTTCAAATGGGAAAGTATAGCCATTTCAAGCTTTTTTATAATAACAGTAAATCAAAGCTAATCTTTTAGTCTCTCAATGTGTCTTTTGTTCAATATATTATTTAGAAACAAGTCATTTGTATTAAAATAAGTAAATATAAGTCCTGATACATTTTTAATTCTGAATGGAGTCCCAGAACCTGTTTTAACATCATTTTTGATTTTACAGTTTTTTTCTTGGAATTTGCTGTGACTTAAATGTTTGCTTTATAATACACTTGTGACAATCTTAAAGCTGTCTCGAAAGCAGAATTAGTCTTTGCAAAAAGTGGACACACATTTTTATTTTCTGCAATTGTTTCTATTTTACAGGCCCTTCTTTATTATGTGTATCATGCTGTGTTGTGCTAGTATCCCCTAACTACTAGATAGGACTCCATCTTACAGAGGCCACATCCTTCTCAGAACTAATAATATGAACAGTTCAGAAAGACTATGATTTAAGAAACTAGAGCTATGCCAAAAGAGAGAGATAAGTAAGTTCAGTTCTACAATAGCAAGTTCAGTTCTACCTCTAACACTTTTCATACTTTTGATTTAAAGGAATTTCAGAATCTTGTTGCGTAAGATTTTGGCTTGATTCTTGCCACTGAATAAAAGCATCCTCATTCTTTGCATGCATTCAGCGGGAGGGAACATTTGACCTGCCTGTGTTTAAGTTGTATTTGCCCATGTAAGACATTGTAATTCTTCACTCAGATAAATAGCTTAGTGGAACTTTTGGTGACTAAGTGGGAATGTGACTGTATTTTTGCAGAATTCAAAGGAAACAGGCCATTCATTGCTGGAAGATACCTTTTAACTTAATTGACAAGGGAAATATAAAGACTTAATTGCTATTTTGGAGATGTAAGTCAAGGCTAGCATCCATCTAACCCAAAACTCCATCAGAGTGTCACAATATATGAAAAAGATTTCCTAGATGTCTGTAAAACTGTTGATAAGACATACCCAGAATCATCCAGGCTTTGAAAATTAAGCTATTCTTTTTCTGTGACATAACTTTTCCCCGCTGTGAGTATTCCTGCCTGCTTTTCTCCTAAGCACACTGCATTTTCCACAAACCAGAAGGTGTCCCTTCCATTCAGACTCTTGATGTATATGTGACTGGCACACTTTCAGATACCTTCTTTATCTTTCTGGACTTGAGAGGTCATACCAAGTCAAACCAAAAGTCCACCTCATTTCATCTCCATCAGCTTCCAGGTAGTGGAAGTGTAAGTACCAGGTTAGATATGGTGTTATAAACAGACTGAGACTTTTTCTGAGGAAAAAGTCAAAATTTCTACTTTCTATTTTTACTTTTGTTTGAATTCTGTCTTAATTAAGAGCCAGATCCTCTCTTCTATAGGCCAACTCAGTACTTAGGCACTTGTCTTAATAATGAACTTGCTATTTTCTGTCTATGTGTCTCCTTCCTTTCCCTCAAACATTCAGTTGTCTGAGGCGAGACTGAGTGAGAGACTACCTAGGTAAATGGGATCATTTCCTCTCTTGGGCCTGCTTAACTCAGGTAGAATAGAGACACGAACTTCTCTCTTGTCATCCTTTCCGGGCTCAGGCAAGAGAATTTTAATTTTAATATGCTTATCTGGAACGTCTCCTTTTCCCTCCTTTTCTGAGGAACCAGGCATGACTTAGATGACTAATTTCAGAACAGCATTTCTGATTTCGGAATGGAGAGCAGTGTTGCTGTCAGTGCAGGGTTTGCTACCTAATCCTCTTTCAGGGAATGAGTTTAGATTGACCCCTGTTCAGCTGTCTCCTTTTTAGGTGGCTTCTCTCTCAAGAATTCCATTATGAGGTATCTAACAATGTAGTGCATTGTACAGAGAGTTAGTACACACATTTATTTGTATTTTAATTCCAGACAGTGACAAATCACCTGGAAGTTAGGTTTCACTATATTAAATAAGTCAATGTCCTTATGAACCAAGCTTTTTTTTTTTTTTTTTTTTTTTTAAATGAGATTCAAATGAGGTCTTCTGTGACCTCATATCTGTTATGGCTGGATACCAGAATGAAGATGTACTAGGTACCTAGATATCTAGCAGGGAATTTATTTAACAGTGAGAGCTGGTATCCATGACACTCTTTTAGAGTCTGTGGAGAAAAATAAGGATAAATAATTTCTTTCTAAGGATAATTTCAAACCAGTGAACATTCCTTATGCCCAAGACTTACCTGATTATTCCTGCTAGTGCTGTAGGTAGTTATGGTAACTAATAGGTGAAGATACCTATACTGTGAAATGCCTAAGTTTGGTGAGGTGAATCCTTTTCCTCGTGGTTGTCAGAATACAAAACATTAAATATGATGTTGCAGTGTGAAATGTCATTGGCAAGAGAGAAAGGAAAGGAGAAGAAATTCAACATCTCTTTTGAAAACAGTCTGTTTGAAACAAGACCATGTTTTGATGTGTGATTATAGGGAAGCAAGGATTTAGATTTGATTGCCAGATGGGAATAATTTTTTTTAATTTTCATTTCTACAAGGTTTTCATTTCCTAGTTGCCTTTGACAACACAAGTGGTAAGACTTGTGGATTACACTCTACCATGTCAAGGAGAATGTTATCATCAGTGATCAAATACGCTCTTATTGCTAGCAGTTCCTTTCTCAGTGTTGTCTCCATGTCCTCATTTTGATTCTTACACCTGACCATTAAGAGAAGAGGAAGTCCAACCATTTTCTCCTCTTTGCTAATTTTTCTAAAAAGCTGTTCACATGTAAGACTCTGATAGTACATCTGTTCTGTTAAGTGAAAGAGGTTCAAATGGGAGACCTGAGCCCTGGATGCTTTATTGTCGACACTACTGGAGAGTTGATTGTTCATTGCTTGACTCCATTTTGAAGTACTCAAGCTAGATCTCTCTACCATAAATTTGCTGTGAAGAGAGCTGACCCTCAGCAGTGTAAACATGAATCAGTCCATAACATATTTCCTCAAAGATGGCAGTGGTTCTTTTGGCCATATTTTTTTTTTTCAGCAAACACATGTAGCTGAAGGTTAGGGTATTTCTAGATCTATTAGCAAATTAATGGATTATTGCTGGTATATCCATTTAACTAATTGTGTCACTGTTTCTGGAGTAACTTTTGAATGGGAAAAAATGCCTGGCATCTAGTAATGAATTGCACTGTACAGCATGAAATACTATAATTTTTTCCTGTACTTTAAATTTCTTTCATTGCCTTCGGAGTAAATTGTAACACAAGTCTTATTTTTGTTTAGTTCCTTTGGAAGGTCTAAGGAGTCAAAGCCAATTTGATGAGATGAGAACGAGTTACATTAGAGAACTGGTGAAGGCAATTGGTTTGCGCCAGAAAGGTGTTGTGGCCAACTCACAACGTTTCTATCAACTTACAAAACTGATGGATTCTATGCATGATGTAAGTTTATTTGTTAATGTGTTTTGCTTTTTGTGTAAGAAGGAACTAGTATTTCTTAAAAATAATTTTACAGAAGGAAGTAGTTAACATTTATAAACAACAAAAGAAAACAACAAAACATTTTTCTTTTATCGTGTATATTTGTGTGAATAGATATATTCAGCATCACTATATAAATTGTGCCTATATTTTATAGTATACAAGATATAAGTATTCGTGGGAAATGTATTTGAATGCTACCATTTTGTTTCATGCTGCCTGCCATACAGTTATGGGCTTTGGTAGGGGGTGGTGTGTATGTGTGTGTGAGCATGTGTATACGTGTTCAGGAAAATAATAATGCACAGGATAGGCAATTCAAGTTGCAAAGTCAGGCTACTAAGAATTAAAGAAAGACAACCAAGATTTTCTTTGAAACCTTAATTCAACTATTTTATGTGTATATTCTGTGCCATTTTTCAGGATCTGTCTATGTCTGAGAACTGAGTAATCTTTAAGAATTCTAGTAGTGATATCAGAGATTCATAGGTGTCTTAAAAGATGCAGCTGAATTCTTTTCACATCTCTGAGAATCCAACATGTATCCTATTGTTTTTAAATTCATTAAAATTGAGGAGTGACATTTCATATAAACCTTTATCCATGTGAATATCCATAGAATGATAGAATGGATTTGGTTTGAAGGGGGACCTTAAAGATCATCTAATTCCAACCTTCGCTATATGAGGGGGGAAGTGGACCAGGTACACAGAGCCCTATCCAACCTGGTCTTGAACACTTCCAGGGATGAGGCATCCATAACTTCTCTGGGCAACCTGTTCCAGCCTCACCACCATTCCATTAAAGAATTTCTTCCTAATATCTAATCTAAACCTGACCTCTTTTAGATTGAAGCTGTTCCCCCTCATCCTATCACTACGTGCCTTTGCAAAAAGTTCCCTCCCAGATTTCTTGTAGGCCCCTTCAGGTACTGAAAGGCCACAATAAGGTCTCCCTGGAGCCTTCTCTTCTCCAGGCTGAACAACCCCAACTCTCTCAGCCCATCTTCATGGGAGAGGTGCTCTAGCCTTCTGATCACCTTTGTGGCCATCCTCTGTACTTGTTTCAACAGGTCCACATTGTTCTTGTCTTGGGGGCCCCAGACCTGGACCCCACCCCAAAGATGGAGTCTCGTGAGAACAGAGTAGGAAGGCAGAATCACTTCCCTTGACCTACTGGCCACACTGCTTTTGATGTAGCCCAGGACATGGTCAGCTTTCTGGGCTGCAGTAGCACATCTGCGAGTCATACGGAGCTTCTAATCAGCCAGCACCCCCAAGTCCTTCTCCCCAGGGCTACTCTCAATTCTTTTTCCACTCAGCTTGTATTTGTGCTTGGAGTTGCCACAGCCCAGGTGCAAGACCTCACACTTGGCCTTGTTGAACTTCATGAGGTTCACACAGACCCACCACAGCTTGTTATCATTGGCAGACTTGCTGGGGATGCACTCAATTCCACTGTCCATGTTAAACAGCACTGGTCCTGATACCAACCCCTAAGCACTTTTGAGTTCAGAGTTGATTATGAGGAACTCTCAGGGAGTACAGGGTGGATGGAATCTTTGCATCTTTGTATTCTTCAGCACTCAGCAAATTTACGCTTTGTTTTAATTCAATCTCTTATTTTCAAATATATAAAGTAAAAGAGCCAGGGAGGGAGGGAGAGAGGGAGGGAGGCTTGCTGCAAAATAGCAAAGTGATGTGTGGTCCATAGAGTAACTTTGTTCAACCCCTGTTTCAACTCAGGCTGAAAAAGTGATGGGAGATAGAAGGAAAAGATAGATCATCACACTGAGGAGACTGCATGATGTTAAAGCTTAGGGTAGTAGAAATAGTATGTTATTTGACAACATAAAGGTCATTGGTCTGAAAGAAAAATTGGAGCCTCTCAGAGAGGATAGAAGAGATGAAATAGTCACTTGTATTGAGCAGTTTCTTTAAGAGACAAGGGCTATGGAGTTTAATGTTTGCGGCATACTCAGATATGATCGTAATCAGAACCATGGAAAAGCTCACAGGTAAGTAGTAAATGCTGTCTCTCAGAGCAGTGTTTGAATGGCATGTAGTAAACAAAGCATTGAGTCATCTTGAGGGTGATGGAAGATTGAATACTTGTTAAGTAATTGCCACTGTTCATTGCAAATTTCATGAGTCAGAATGATACTACTTTGTAATATTAGTGAGGCAATTTTTATATGACATGACATTTAGCTATATTTATGATTTTTGCCATCAATAGGGAGTGACAAATACCCTCATTATTGATTCAAGAAATGACAGAGTAAGGTCTTTATAATGATGTCATCTAATGAATGTATGAACTAAGTTGTTGACAGCATGTTTATCTGGCTGCATTACTCTTAGCCTGATTGATCATGTTTGTATTTTATTAAATCCAGCTAGTGAAACAGCTCCATCTCTTCTGTTTGAACACATTTCTCCAGTCCCGTGCACTGAGTGTTGAATTCCCCGAGATGATGTCAGAGGTGATTGCTGCCCAGCTACCCAAGATTCTAGCCGGGATGGTGAAACCTCTTCTTTTTCACAAGAAGTGAAATGTCTTCTCTTATCATAGAGGTGATTTCTGGGTCATTTTTTGTTTGTTTATTTTGGTCAAGATTTTGCAAACATCAGGACGTCAGTATATTTGTCATACTTACCTTGCCTCCTGCTGTATACTTGTAACATACACAAGCCATTTAAGCTTGTTGTATATATTGTGAGTTTCTGATTCCTTAACTACAAAAATCACAACAGTTGTAAGAAATGTTTGGTAAACTTGGCTAGGCTGCTTTTTAGATATGCATATGGATGACAGTGAGTAGACTTTCCGGATTTCTAACAACAGTTATACATTTTTCTTATATGTTGCACGCTCTTGAATTTCTGATATGACATGGTGCAAACTTTTTACTTTAGTACATTGTGTGCTTGGGTACCCGTGGGTATGTGCATAACACAATATTTTTTAGGAATTAAAATAAATATTGCCCACATTTTCTCATGGATATTTAACTTTTTATTAACTAATTAGCCTCACAGAAACAGCCTTTCAAAGTCAGCCATCCAGGATTAAGCACACATTACTGCAGTACCTTCATGAGTAACTGAAGCTCTAGGCATACACTATAACACTATATATTCATATTCTTGTCTATGCTCATGATGCATTGAAATTCTGAGTCCAGCATACTGTTTTCTACAGCGTTCAGTGCAGCTCTCCTTCAAAAATCAGAAATCTTAGGAAAATTTCAGTGTATATTACACCAGAAGTAATGTGTATGCAAACCCACTAAGCTTTGGTTTGTGTTATTTTCCTCAGAAGTCCAGCACTTATTAAAGCTAAATCACTTAGCTGTAATCATAAATTCATCAGCTATAACATTCTGTATTTCAGAAGCTTTAAATCGAGATGTTTTCACTGACTACAGCTCTTAATAATCTTAATGTTTTGAACTCCAGTGCTGAATACTCAGAAGGCCATTAGCATCAAATTAGAATGAGACTAAATGCAAAAAGAAATGGAAAAGATGACTGCAAATATTTTGATACAATCAGACTCATTTCAGTACTATTTAGTGGAGCTAAAATATTTTATATTTTAAATGCATGCCATTATAATTGGAGTAACTGTAAAAGAGGAGTTGAACTAAATTAGCTTTATACATTCAAGAAGAATGATGTTTTACCATGGAAATGAATATTTTACTGAAAAATTACAATGTGGTGGTGTTTGTTCCCTTGATATGGATATGAAGCAACTCATGCATTTAAGGCACGTAAATTGTAAATTGTAGCCATATTCGAACAACAGAGAAACAGAAAAAGCTTAAGAAGAATTTATGAGTCTATTAAAATATGAAAAATTATGCCAGTCACTGGAAATGATACTTAAATGTAGGAAATGGTGAGTTTTGGATACTTGCTGGTTGTACGCTTTTGCTTACCCATTACATGTTGGATGCATCAATTGTGTGAGCATGTACTGTTGGTGGTGTGTAGCTTGATCTGTACAGACATACCCTTGTCACATGAACAAAGGCCCATGGGACATAAATTCAGTATCCCTGGTTAAACCAGGGTGCCCCTCATTAGAACTATATGATGTAACTTGTTCATAAAGATTACCTCTTGATTCTTGAAAAAAATGTTGGCAATTGACAACTAAAGGTATATCTAAAGGTATCCTAACTGGTCATAATTTCCAAAAGCCAATGAAGAAGAAACTACATTACAACTGGGGATAAAACATTTTATATATTCCTCACATAGTAGTACAAAACCCACTAGAGTTGATGTAAAGATGTGGCCCTCAATAAGTGGTATAGGCAGACTTTTGTGTTATTTGACTAGGTTTATCATTTCTGACTGCCCAGACAAGCAATTTCTTTCATATTCAGTACAGTCTGACTTTTAACTGTGATCCTTAAAGCAATTATGTTTTAATAAATACCACAAAATTCTTTGTTTCTAAATACTGAAGTTTTGTTTTATTTATTTTAATTTGTGTTTGCATTAAGTAATTGTGGATCTCTGTAAAAAAATCCATTTCAACCATTCCAATTTTGTGTAACAACATTTCCATGCATTCTTTTGGATTTCAAGCATTGCTACATGATTTACCATTGAATAAACAGACTGTCTACGTTACTGTTTAGATTAAACTGTTAACAGAAACTTCCCACACTAAAAATTACTCTTCAACACCCTAATTCTGAAATCAGAAGGTAGAACAGGCAGTATGTTTCCCTTAGGAATGCATGAATCAGCCTACGCCTGCCTTTTACTTAATCCCTAAGTGAATGACATGTCACCATGTCCCATAAATATGGCAGACTAGTCTGAAATACACTATATTTGTCTCAAAGGCATAGTGAAAAAGGAAGAAAATATATCTTTTGGGAATAGATAACAAAGATTAAAAACATTTTAAAATTATATTTCTCAAAGGTCTCTAACTCATGGAAAAAATTTCATAGTCATGCTAAATGCACTATACAAGATAGAATGAGTTTGGCTAATTGTGGCTGCTGTATTAATTTGAAAGTCCTGTGTTCATTATGCGATTATCTAAAGTTCAAAAAAAACCTTTTAATTTGAGAACTTCCAGATTTGACCCCAGTTTATAAAATTGCCTTTAGTCTCCATTTTGATATTGTGATTTGCTCTGGGTTACACAGACACCATGAGCAGTGAAAAAGGACTTGGGGCTGCTAGTTGACACGAACATGAACATGAACTAGCAGTGTGCCCAGGTGGAAAGAAGACCAATGGCATCCTGGCCTGTACCAGCAATAGTGTGGCCAGCAGGACCAGGGCAGTGATTGTCCCCCTGTACTTGGCAGTGGTGAGGACACACCTCAAATCCTGTGTTCAGTTTTGGGTCCCTCACTTCAAGAAAGACATTGAGGTGCTGGAGTGTGTCCAGGGAAGGGCAATGGAGCCAGTGAAGGGGCTGGAGCACAAGTCTTAAAAGGAGCACCTGAGGGAGCTGGGGCTGTTTAGACTGGAGTAAAAGGAGCCTGACAGGAGACTTCATTGCTTTCTACAATACCTGGAAGTAAATTATAGGAAGATGGGGGTCAGCCTCTTCTCCCAGGCAACTAGTGACAGGATGAGAGGAAATGTCATCAGGCTGCACCAGGGGAGATTCAAGTTGGACATAAGAGAGAATTTCTTCACTGAAAGTGTGGTTAAGCATTGGAATGGGCTGCCCAGGGAAGTGGTGGAGTCACCGTCCCTGGAAGTGTTCCAAGAAATGACTGGACATGGCACTTGGTGCTGTGGTTTAGTTGACAAGGTGGAGAGCAGTCAAAGCTTGAACTCAATGGAGGTCTTTTCCAACCTTAATGATTCTGATTCTATGATTCTACGAACACAGATTGAAACATCAGATTGCTTTCTTCCCTATAGAAATCTTGTGTACTGTGACTTTTCAACACTGCAACAAAGTTCAGAGAGCAATTATCTCATTGTTTTACCAAGTATGAGGCTTAATAGTTGTCTGTGTTTCTCTGCATTAATATTTGTTTAAAGATCAAAGCATTTTTTGACCTGAGCTTTATTAATAGGCGTAAATAAAACATCTTGTAGTGCTTCTCAATGTATTGAACAAGGCAAAACTGATGGATCTTCTTATGCTGCATTTTACACAATTGAAATAAGAGGTTTCAGCAGATGGAATTTTTTGTTTTCTGACATTTATGATGAGCCTAATTATATTTTAAAGGTATGAAACCTGTAGTTCTAATTAGAATACTTGCCAGCCATCTTCTACAGGTTTTTGCCCAAGCTATCACTAAAAGTTCTCCATACACTAAATATGTAAGCAGTGCCTGACGCTAAACTTCTTCAGGTCTGTACAGTTGAGGTACTTTTGACCCAAGCCCTTCAGCATTGCCTTCTGCTGATACTTCAGTGAAGCAAAAACAACCAAGTCATCAGTTTTCTTTGAGCTCTGCTGTTGTGATTCTGCTCTGTAGAGGCATCACATTTATAGTTTTTAAGTACAGTTTAGGAGATTGAAGGGCCTCGCCATGGCAGCCCACCTATTTTTGGAGAGCTGTGACAATGCAGTGCAGAGAAGAGGAGACCTCCAGCCCCAGCAAGCTGCCCTCTTTGTCTAGAAGCTGCTTCGCAGTTGTGCTTGCTGTGGTACAAGAAACACAAAAGATCAAACACTTGGCTCATGTTTTCAGCAATCTCAGCTGAACATACAGTTTTGACCAGCCTTTAGGGAAGGGGGGATGTGGGTTCCTTAATAGCTAGTCCATGACAGGGGGAAATGTCATCTTAGAAACTTTCAATCAATTTCATGGGGTTTTGGGATGGCCTGGTTACATGTAGGCATAATAAACACAAGCTTAGGCATTTTTGAACTGCAGCTGTTTCTTCAGCTGCACTACAGTTATGATTCTTGTGCTCTATCTACAGTAGAGAAAATGGGATTTAAATCTGTATTTTCTGACCAGTCAATGCCTTATTAGTACCTTAGCTGGTGTCTTTTCTTTCTTTTCAAGGACAGTTATGTGTCTATTTCAATTATAATTTTTGGGAAGATAAACTACTTTCCTGTGTTCTTGTCTACATCCAAATATTTATCTCAGCTATCAGTAATCTATCAGTAGCATGAAAAGTAGGGATCCTGCAGCGATCTTTCCTTCCCATACTCTCCTACCTGCACAAACTTAAGGTTACTTTAGCTGCAGAGCAGGAGGGGATGGGGCTGCATTCTACCCATGCAGCACTGCAGCTCCAAGATCACATATTTTCCCTTACATGCTGTTTGTGGCACGCTGACCTTTCTTTCCTTCCAAGAAATCAGCTTACAGCCACAGAGCTAATATACAAAGCCCTCCCATCTTTCCATGGCTCATAAGCCTGTGTGCATACTGCCAGGCTGGATTGTCAGCATTGCTGGATTTATTGGTTTGTACTGCTTTGTGTCATGGTGACCTGGCTTGAACAGAAGGTTTGTTTTTAGTTCAGCTCTCTTTTTCCCCTTGGAAAATGAAAAGGGAAAAAGGAATATTTTAGGTATTTTTTTGCTGTAAAATTTATGGGGTTTTTTTTCAATGAATGCTATTAATTTATTGGGTTGACATTATTTGCATGCAGAATG